GTTAGCACCAACACCTGCATCAGCATTTCCGCCAACGCCTGCATTAGCTCCGATATCTGCGCCAGCATCTCCTCCAACACCAGCGTCGGCTCCAACACCGGCACTTCCACCAAGGTTGCCTCCGACATCTGCTCCAACATTGCCTCCAAGGTTTCCGCTGGCATTTGCTCCTCCGCCAACATCGGCACCAGCATTACCGCTAACATCGCCACCAACGTTGGCACTGCCAGAGACATCTCCATTTCCACTAGCACCAGCATCACCACTGACATTGGCACCTCCAGAAACACCCCCACTAGTATTAGCACCACCGGAGATATCACCACTTCCACTGGCACCAACGTCAGCTCCAGCGTCACCACTAGCGCCAGCATCTCCGCCAACATTGGCACCACCAGAGACATCCCCGCCAGCGCTGAGATCACCACCGGCGTTAGCTCCACCGCTAATATTTCCACTTCCAGTGGCTCCAGCATCGGCCCCAGCATTACCACTGGCACCGACATCACCACCGGCGTTGACACCTCCTCCGACAGTAGCATTACCGGCAACATCTCCGCCACCGCTAACATCTCCGCTGCCTGTAGCACTCACGCCAGCTCCAGCATCGCTACTAGCATCTCCTCCAACATCAGCACTTCCGCTTGCACTTCCGCTTGTATCTCCACTGCCGCTGGCACCAATATCAGCCCCGGCATCACCGCCAGCACCAACGTTGGCTCCCCCACTAACATCTCCTCCAATATTAGCGCCTCCGCTGACATCGCCGCTGCCGCTGGCACCGACATCAGCACCAGCGTCGCCACTAGCACCAGCATTGGCACCACCGCCAACGTTGGCGCCAACACTACCACCACCACTGACGCCTCCGCTCACACTTCCGCTGACACCACCACTGACACTGGCGCCAACAGAGGCACTGGGGTTGGTTCCAAAGCTAACACTCACACCAACACCGTGGCCGTTTTCGCATTTTTCACAGACACTGGTAGTAACACTAACAGCACCGCTGCTAGTAGCGCTACCGGAAGCCTCACATGCTTCACAAGAAGTAGTGGAACTGGCCGAGCCGTGGTGCCCGAGCCATTCAATGAGAGGCAAGAAGGTACGAGACTGCAATCCAGCACGATCCCTGGATGGGTTGGAGAGGGTAGTACCAATTCTACCAGGGACGTTCGGCAGGGTACCATTGTGCGATGTCACAGACACCGGGACCGCCAGGGTCGAGGTTGCCCCAAGGGCGAGGGTATAAAGAGCGTAACGCATATCGGGAATTAAGAATGATTGAAAAGATTAACGAAAGAAGAATGACTTTTTTTATGGATTTTTGTGTGAGGTAACAATGAAAGAAGGTTGTTGATGCTGGCTGAATGAGGTGGTAATGGGAGCGCATGGCAGGCCTTTATATAGACTTGACATCTCCCCTTTCGCGCTCTTGATGTCGCTATTCAGACTGGGATGGAACCATGTTTCCATTGTGGACTAACGATGAAACCACTCTATCCATGGCATAGGCAAGACTAGTAGTAGATCTGCGTTTCAAAGAAAGACCGCATCTAGACAATCAACCCTGAAGTGGAAATGCGCTTGACTAGATCGGATTTGCAAGTCGGATTTTTGGGGTACTCGGTTCATACTGCTAGAACGTAAAGCTGCTTCTCCTTAAATGATGTTCTTCCATTATTATATTTGCGGTTTCTATTCTTAAATGGAGCTTAATCACCTTTACGGATACTCAACCACGACCTGAATAACCTCGATACACAATTGCATTACATCTTTCCAAACTACAAGTCCCAACCGAATATATGCACCAAAACTGGCAGACACAAAGTGCCTGTCACCATCCTGACGCACGGAAAAGCCCCTGGCCCTAGGGCTCGGCCTTAGTGTTGGTGCAAGGTCACTTCAGAACCGGACCATGAATCATGGCAACTTACCATCCATCTCAATTATAATTAGAATAATTAGAAACTATGTTTGCATGAGTCAAGCTACAAGCGCAAATAGAGTTCTTAATGTGGGGAAATATGGCTGCAAAGGAACAATAGAGAGAACGCATCTCCAATCTGAAACGGTCGGGGAGAATCTTCGCTTTTCTTGTGCTAGAGTGAACCACGGTGATTTTACCCTAACTGGCTAAGCCGGGATTGCCGGCTGGTTTTCGGGGCGAGCAGCCGGTATGTACCCTGAAGGAATCAAACTCAATTATGAGAACACCCTTCCGATATCGCCGCCCGACGAGTCTAGATTTTTTCGTCACGCTAAATGGATCTACCTTTTCCGATTTACCATCTGTAGCAGAGGTATAGTATGCACATTGAAGGGGTTAAATCTTTCCTCCAGAGGTAGAGCTTAGTCTAAGCTGGGGTCCTAGGTAGCAGCCTAATATTCCTTCACAACCTGTGCATTGAGATTGTCTGTCATGAACCAACGATACCGTGAGCACCGTATTTTGGGGGAACAGAACCCGCATGATTGAAACAGGCTAGCCCACACTGAGACCATTTAATGGGGCCGTGATCTCTACTGGGCAGAGCTACCAAGGTCCTCTTTTTTTGGACTTTCACCCCCTCCGCTCAACCAACCCTGTGGAGACAGGATTCCAAAGTCGAAACGACTCTAAAGGATCGACCACAGACACTAAGGCCGATCTGGAGCAGGGACGAACATATCATCTTCAACACGAGGGCGTTCGTCGACCCCTCGGGAAGTGGATCAACCGTAAAATACCCGAACCCCTGGATCTATGCCAAGACCTAATTTACCTGAACCACCGGAGGAGCTTTCTGGTCCTACATCCTACAAATAGGATCATGATCTCCCAGTTGTGTAAATCAGGTGGTTCCCAATTATAGGACAAGCCTTCGGTTGTGGTGGTTGTGGTTGGTTCCTCGAGGTCGGTGGTTCGGGATCGAGCTCGGAGTTCAAGTCCCACTCAATAGGGTTCGGACTAGGGGAATAACCATTGTGAACCGAAGTTGACCCGGGCCCAGTGTTTGATATCGGATGGGGTTCTATTTTTGTACTACTATATCACGCAGCTTTTTATTGCGCATTTTGGATACTGTTATGCTAGTCATGGCATGAAGTCAAGTAGGTTCCGGAATATATGTGCTTTCATCTGAGTACGGAAAGTACGCTGCTATCCTACAACCTGAGGTGACTTATAGTTTCCAATTTAAATGAACTCACGACAATGCTCAGTGATTTCCGGAATGAGTGCCATATTGTATGCCATCTCGATGATTGGGCATGTCGCTTGGCGATCAGAGTCACACGATGCCTGTACAGATTCTAGTGTAGTCTCTGCCGCCGCTAATCGGTGTCAATCATGTACAGCACCACGATGATCGGTAGCATTGCGAAACGGTGATTGTCATAGCAACATCCACTTACATCCTGAGTACTCGAGAGGCACTACCTTCCCTGCAGGATATCCAATCACTGCGAGATGTTTCGTACATTCCATTAGTTCTAGCCCGTGAGTACACCACTAATGAACAATCGGCTTATACACCACCTCCATCTCATTAGCACGACGCCCCCGGCAGACCCCAGAGGCAATAGCTTACATTAGACCCATGGACCTGCAATCAGGTAGTCCGCTGAATAAGAAGGCCTCGACTGTTCTACATACAAGGCACCACACAATGAATCCCGCCATACGCCGAAGCCAGGAGGCCGAAAGGCCCTGTCCAGCAATTGGCATATCACACCAGATTGGAATTTCCTTTCAAATATTCCTAAAATAGAAAAGGGTTAAATTTCATCCATGGATGTGTTTTGAAAAAGAAGGAAGAGAGCGACAGTCTATCAGACCTAGTCTCGTGAGCCATGTCGTAGAATACTCCATTTTTAACCCATTGGTGAAGGTCCAATGGGCTGATTAGCATGGAAAGGCAAGGATGAAGGAATAGTCCGAAGGATGCAGCCATGTCAAATGGGGGTTTTGCTCTGAGTTTCTCCGAGATCCTTCCGCTTATGGTGACGCGGGATATGGTGTGTAGTGAAGAGCGGGCCATAAAGGATAATATCTCGTTGAATGGCGTAAGCTTACATATTTAGATGCGCTTGATGTGAATACTTCTTAGTAACAGCAGATATTGAAGACAAGCTTGTATATTGCAGAGGCCAAAATCTCCATTATTTGTTTTGCGAGCTTGCGATGCCAGTTCCATGGTGGGTTGCATATTATATAGCACATACCTATTGCTGTACCTAGCCTTCATAATGGCTAAAATCACCTTATAAAGCACACATCATAGTGGAAATATACTCGTATAGCTTCTACTCATTTGAACATAATCCAATCCTAAGCTGGCGGTCTGTTATTCTTAGGGAACCCGAGAGCAACAGCTCTCGACTTTTCATAGCCTACAACTTTCCTGCCAACTGCAATTACATTGATTTACTTTAATACAGAAGTGGCCGCCCAACGTAGTAGGTCATACCATGGGTACCACTAGATCAACAGCGCCTCCTCACGTATTTCGCATTTAATGCGTGTACTTTCGTAGGTGCTAGGAAACGGAGAAAGGCCCGAGTCAGCGGCAATCTGCACTGTACTACAACCAGGCTATTCCTAGCTCGTCCGCGCTGAGAGTTGTCCAGCGCGATAAGTATCCCTTCAAGTCATCGGCCGTCAGATATGTGTCTCTGAGGGTATTTTGTACATCGCTAAAGGCTGTCGGCGTGTTTGAGTCAAGTCCCGTTACTCCAATAGACCTTTTATCCGTAAAGCTATGTTTACACTTTGTTTGAAGATCCATAGCACAGGATTTATATTCTGGCCTTGGTTCAGAGCACGGATCTTCGGTAAGGAGAGTTTGCGGGGTGGGCCGGTGCGATGGATCCCTACTGCAGTTAGCAACATATCCATTTGAAAGAAAGATAAGTGATCATACACAATGAAGCCGTCATGCAACTTTTTCTTCAAGTCTGACTCCGTAGCAACAGTGAGGGACGGCTTTCTAGGTGTTCCCTGCCGGACACGGTCGTTTACAACCGACCATATGACCGTCGTTGTAGTCTGTGTTTTAGTTAATGGCGTTGAAACAAGGCCATCATCCAAACCATCATCGGAATCTTCCTGCGGCGTTCCAGATCGCCGGAAATGAACAATGGATTCATCGAACTCAAATTTCGGAGCGCAAATCGGCCCTTCTGAGCAAGATGGTTAGACACCGGCCCCCATTGGCGGATACAATCAGAGCCGGGAAGCTTACCTTCTATATTCACATTCGGGCTTGTGTCTACAACCTCTTTATCGCCATCAGATATCGGTGGCTCGCCAGTGGCGCTTGCCATATTGCCTACGCTATCCAGCGTCGCTTCTAGGCCGGGTGATCCGGGTGATCCCTGGCACTCCAGCCTGAGAGAATTGGCCTTCTTTACGGTCAATAACTCGCTAGGGGTAGATGGAGCCTTGCGCCGAAGTGCTGGATTATCACAGAGCTCAATGGTCTCGTTGCCATGTGATATCTGAGAGCAGTCTAAATCAATAACGCTCCCTCGCCTGTAACCAGTGTCTATATACAGAGGGGAAGCGTTTGGCTTTCGAGAGCGGCGTTGTTTCCTCTCGATATAACGCTTATGTTTTTGCGCTTGGGAGGCGAGCTCATCCATGTCAGACGGGTTTGCAAACTGATTGATGACTTCTTTATCCGGTTTTGTTCCTGGAACGTCGTCTTGTGGTGCCGTTGCTGACGATGTGAACACCTTCTCTGGGATTGATACAGCAAGACCCGCGACATCTAACAGTGGATAATGTGTGCTACGGTGTAATGGCGAGCCATGCACAAACAGCTTTAACGAGCCAACAGCATCTGCTCTCATTCTTCTCAAATGCACCAGAGTGGTATCATTCAGTGCTTCGTCATGCTCTAATTGACCCGGCTCGGTCAGGAATATCGGCACAGATGACCAGTCAGAGATACCCAGATTTTGGCAGATTGCAGCACGCAGGCTCTCGACAGAATCCATAGACGTAATATCAACCAAACGATAGTCCAACCCATTCAAGGTGACAAATACCCACTTCTTCCCCTCCGTATACATGAATTTAGACTGACGTGTTTCCTGCTCGTGGTCTGAAACTGATGTAGCCGAGGGACGCTCGCCTAGCGACATATCATTTCCACCGAGATCTACTCGCTCATGCAGACGGGTGGGATCGTTTTGCTGTATGTTCACTGGACTGGTGGGCGACTCCGATAACTGCTCGTCGGGTGATGGAAAAGGACTGGAGCCTTTTTTTCTCTTGA